TGCACCCCTATCTTCATAGCAGCACAATTCACCATAGCTAAGATCTGGAAACAGCCTAAGTGCCCATCAGTAGATGAGTGGATTAGAAAACAGTGGTACATCTACACGATGGAATACTATGCTGCTGTAAAAAAGAAGGAATTCTTACCATTTGCAACAGCATGGATGGAAATGGAGAGCATTATGCTAAGTGAAATAAGCCAGTCAATGAAAGTAAATACCACATGATCTCACTCATTTGTGGAATGTAAAGAACATTATAAACTGATGAACAAAAAATAGATACAGAGGCAAAGAAGCTGTCAAACTACAGCAGGAAGGCAGGGGAGGGCCAGGGGCGGGGGAGGGGCAAGAGATCAACCAAAGGACTTGTATGCATGCATATGAGCGTAACCAATGGACGCAAGACACTGGGCGTGGTGGGTGAGGGCATGTACCAGCGGGTAGGGGAGGCCAGGGGAGGTCAATGGGGAAAAAAAGGAGACATATGTACTACTATTTGTATTACTTTAAACAATAAAATAAAAATTTTTAAGAAACAACTTGGATTATAGGAAGAAAAAGAATAAAATCACAGTTGCTCCTGAGAAGCAATTCTCTAAAAGATTACTTGAACTATCTCACCAAGAAATACCTTAAGGTTACTCTTCGTGATTGGCTTCATGTGATTGCATCTGACAAGGAGACGTATGAACTTCGTTACTTTCATATTAGTCAAAATGAAAATGGATCTGAGTCTGAGGACTAGGTGAAGGCACCTTAAAAAGGTCTTTGCTTACTAATAAAACAAATGAGGCATACCAAGAGAAACATCTAGAAATGGACTTTTAGTTTATCAGAGAATAAAAAAGATAACACTCTAAAAAACATATACACACAATGATAACACTAATAAAATGTTGGACTAGCCACATTAACATCAGACAAAGTAGACTAGAGCAAAGAATATTATTGGGATAAAAAGTCTCATTTTTCAATGGCAAAGAGGTCTATTCTTAAGAAACCTAGCTGCTTATGC